AGGGGCGGCGGACAGGGGGCCAGGCACCGCGGGGTGCTGCGTAGCTGACAAAGCCATTGAGTGGTGTTGGGGCGGCAGGTGGGGCAACAACAGTGCCAGCAACCTCCTTGGCACGCAGACTGTGGGCATCAATGACGGTGGAGTAGAGGTCCCGCAGGTCAATGACCTTGGTCTTCTTGTCCCGGTTCTCATGCAGTACAGCATTGGCGCAGATGAAAAGGAAGATGCCGATGCCCATGATGAGTGGGCCCAACACCTTGAGTTTGTCTGACTGCAAGTAGCCCGAGAAGAGGCGCAGGAGGAAGCCCGCCGAGGAGGAGGAAGAGGCAGTGTCAAGAGGTGGTGGGGGTCTCCTGGTACTGCCCGAGGAGTCATCCCCAGCGGTGTCAGAGTGTATGCCTGCTAACTCCCGGGAGCGGTTCTTGACAGCACTACCCAGAGGCAGCAGGGCCCTGGCACCCTCAAAGCTGCCCTGGCGGTAAGGCAGGCTCGACTTGGGCCAGTAGCCCATCACGGCCAGGGCGATGCCCACCAGCAGCACCAGGATGCCACAGAGGGCAATGAGTCCCGAGAGCGAGCACAGCTTGAGCTTGCCCTTCACCACCACCACATCATTCTTGCGCTTCTTCTTGGCCTTGTGCTTGCGCTTGGCCACCTGGCTTGGAGGCCGCAGGGGGTCCTGTTTCCGGGCTGAGATCCTCAGGAGGCCTCCGGTGGCAATCATGGCTGGCTCCCTGCAGCTCCACTTCCTACAGCTCCTCCAGTTCCTGCAGCAAGGGGGGAGGGAGAGAGAAGAGGATCAGGCCGGGTTGGGGAGGGTTTCGGCAGCATGTCTGAAGCCCCTTGTTTTCCTGTTGCTCCCCCCTATATCTGGTTTAGCTCCACTTTCAAGTCCTAATGAGTGGGATCTCAGTCACTGGCCCACTGATCACCTGTGCACATGTGCAGACAGCCAATCCCTGTGACAAAGAAGCTGCATGAGGTAACTTAGGCCAGGGAAGCAGCCCTGTGTCCTCTGTTTGCAAACAGCTAATTGATTTCTTTGGACTGCAGATAAACCCAAGTGGGAGTGGCATCACCCATGCAAACAAACAGAAAAGGAGTCATGCTGCTTTTAGGAGTAGCAGGCAAGGCTGCCTGCTGCTGCTTCCAGGAAGCTGCTGCCATCTGTCTTGTTCTTCTACCGGGGTCAGAGGGTCACAATGCATGAGGCCTTTAGTGCTACCAATCTGTTGGGCTGGATCTAATCTGCTCTGGATGCTGTGGCAATAAAACCAGGAGGGCAGTAAGAATTGGTCTGTAGATGGCATTGATTTTTTTATTACATGGTTTACACATTACTGAGGGATTCTAAGTGATTATTTACTTGTTTCCCCTTGTGCATTTTCAGTAATTCATTTCCCATTCTTTAAAAACATTTGAATACCCAGACAGTAATACCTTTAGAAAGTTTCTTCCAAGCCACTTCTTTCGCATTTTATCTGCCCTGAGATAGAAACCCATCCTCTTCTGCTTACGGTATGGGTACATCATCTGGACAGCTGCTTGATTTGGAAACATGTATGATGTTCAAGGTAATGTTATGTAACATTGATGGATCTTCCCTTCCCCACATCCCCTAAGTTGTGAGCTGGTGGCCAGTACTGAAAAAATAAAAAATATCAGATTTTATGAAAAAAAGGAGAGAACCCTCTGAAGCACCCAGAAAAAGAAAATGTTTTGTGTTGGGAAGCTAATGTGAAATAGCATTCGTTGCTTGATATTTTTTTTTTTTTTTAACTGTACTATCATGATTCATCATCTGAGTATTCAAATGGCTGGGAAACTAGTATGTACACGGCATGAACAAATTGCACAGTGTTGCAAACCATTCAGCCGAGTCTTGATTATACTGAAAAAGGGGCATTTTTCCTGCCTTTTTTTTTTTCTTGGAAGTGCCTGAAATAATTTATAGGAAGGAACGATGACAGTAATCAATTTAGCATGCTTCATAAAGTTCAATTCCTTGTCTTGAAAGCTGTTTAACTAGGCATCAAAAGTGAT